AAATAATGATTGTCAATTTGTGTGTATCAGTTCTAAGTGGGATATTCTAAGATAGGAATTAGGATAATAGGATTTTAAAACAAGGAAATCTGAGGTATAACATATTTAAAGACATCATGTTCTTAATCCAGCATTTTGTGTTTTCCACGAAAGTGGAATGAAAAATATTTTTGAATAAAAAGAACTTGTTGAATAATAAGAAATTTTTAGATAATAATAAGATTTTTCTTCGTCGAGTCATACAAAATATATTCTCTAACTTGTCTTTGTTCATTGCTGTGTGATCTTACTTAAAGATTAAGATGGATTAATTGATATTTTGATATTTTCCAAACGCCTCTATCCTATGCACAGAGTTGTATTTTCTGTCGACTGATCGAAAGTTACCGACGTATACATTTTTCGACGCTTCGATTTTTACGATACGGTAAGCCGCTCGGGTTTGCGCACGTCAACTGGAGAACTGCACGCGGTCAGTTCATAAATTTTCACCATTTTCCAGCTACTCGTTTGCAAGACTTCCGTTATGAACTTGTCGAAATTACATGGTTTTCAAAAGCGACGTGAACGCGACGGGTAATACTCGATCATGGCTCCATCGTGCTCGACGTGGGAGAGAATTTTTCGGCCGTCAGCGCGGATCATCGGGCTCGATCATTTCGCGGACGCGAAGCCGAATGACGATCGATCGGCGTGGAATGACGCGCGTCACCTTTTTCGAGGTGCTCGTTGGTCCGTCATCGTTCATGACGTAGAAGCCCGCAGCTGCTCGTCGGCGCTCGTTTATTTGACGGGTCGGACTGAACGCGCTCGGAATTAACGCTTTGACGTTAACCCTTTCGATCCTTCGAACAATGCGACGCTTCGTACATATCGCGCGCGCGTGCTATCAAAAGCTTATTCTCGGTTATTAATTTTTGTAAAATGGACCCACATAGGGAAGAGCAAAAACGCAGGAAAAAACCCTGGGAGTTCTCGAGGCAGCAGAGCCGCGTCAGCCAAAAGTTCGTGAAGTCAGTGAAGAGTTTGTAAAAACGTTTCAAACTCCTTCCTGGCTTCTTCGGTCGTGCATTTTACACGGAGAAAAATGTTGGGCCAACCGAACTGGGGACCAGACGAAAAGTTCGTTGACGGGAAATAATATTTCTGTCACTGTGACCGAGAACATTCGTCTCAACATTTAGCTGCACTAAAACTCGGTTGAGATCACTGAGAGCGATTGGCTGAGCAGGAATCTTTCTATTCTTACACAGAGTTCTTCACCTGGTCCTCAAAGGAAAATTCAGTTACACCGACGAAATTGTTTTCTCCGTGTGAAAAAACGCAAAGATACTTTCAGAAACGCCATTCACCGCGGTATTTGACGTCAGAAGCGAGAATTCGCAATTCTCTTTTACAGCATTCTTCGTAACGTTACGTTCACTGAAACGCGCGTCTCGATAAGACATCAACTTGGTCGTTTTTCCGGACACCCGTTACACATCCACGTCCGCGAGCACGCAAAGGTTGGCGGCTTCCCCTCGCGCGCGCGTCTTTTGAGGTTCTTTTCGCCGCCTAATTGTATCGGGTGTCTTAATCAGCGTGTAAGCTACTAAAGCCAAGAAGGCCAAAAACGAATGAGAAGGAGAGCGAGAGAAGGGAAAGGGGGGGCCGCCGTTCTGCATCTCAAAGGCGCAATTTAAAAAGTATGTTAAGTCGTCGCCATTATGCTCGATGTACTTATCCTACCCGGCTTTCCGTCAGACATGAATTTAGATTATGGTCTGGGTATTGTGCGCGCGTGTTCCCCTGCCGTTTCTCTCTCTTCCTCCTTCCCTCCCCCTCTCTCTCTCTCTCTCTCTCTCTCTCTGTCGTAGGAGTCGGAGAAGCTAGAGAAGCCACTTTTGGCACATCTCTCGACCTCGCTTCCTCGAGAAGACAGAAAAGTTCCGTGGTGTCACGAAACGGGATTAACGCTGAGCCGCTAAGTTCCTTCTATACATTCCCTCCGCGATATCGTCTCGTTCCTTTCACTGCCGATTAGATAACGTCACGTAGGAAACGACACGAGGGGAATCTCCGCCGAATGGTACACTTGATTTGTCCCGAGAATAACAAAAGGAGAAAGAAAGAACAGGACCTTCGTCCGAGCGTGCAGTTCACAGATGAAATCCGAATGAAATTTTCATCATCCAATATTGTGCGTCACGAGCTCGCGAGCTTGTCCGAGTATGAATTTCGATGGGCGGACCAGCAGAGGGAGAGAGGAGTATAGGCGATCGCGCAGCGAGAGCGGTTAAAGGGGGTTGTCGGCAGCCCGACGCAGTCCGGCACGTGCTGAGTGTGTACTAAAAAGCAATAAACTCCTTCGGGAACTTATCTCGTAATGACAGCGCGGTAATATCAATATGGGATCATAATAAAGCCACCTACCTACGTTCACGAGAGGCGAAATGACGAGGGCCTTTGAGGGCATATTGGTGCTCCATCTTTTGATCCCGCTCGCTAATTCGCCCCGTGTATTTAGGGATCTGCGAGTCGCACACGAGTGCGGCGCGTAATTGAATCGTGCGCGAGCTCCGGGAAACTTTATGAACCTTTCGTGAGTCTTAGTAATTGATATGTTCGTTGCAATTAAAATAACCGATTTTTATCACAAGAGGAATGTTGTAAATGTCGAATAATAAAAGATAAATTCTAGTAACGTTGATATGCAGGGTGAGAAGCAATAACTGTTATTATCTTGAATATTTATGCTGTTTCAAACAATAATGCAGGAAAACAGTGTCTACAAAAGTCTTATGCTTTCGAAGAAAACGTATACTGTAGTTGAGAATTTTTTAGAATCTCAACTTACAAGAGGAGGACCAGAAACGCGCTTGGGAATGCCGTTTGTTCCAAATGGTTTATATCCATATTAAGGATTTCAAATTCTAAACATCCCTTATTTTTTTACCAATTAAAAAAATATAAAAAATTTAATGTCATCAGTTTGACAAACCACTTGGCAGCATGATAGGTTTTAAGGAATGGAGAAAAAAGTCCAGGAACAAGATATGTTCCAAGACTAATAGTTTTTATAGTATTTGACATTTATTTCGATATTTCCGAGTTCTGATCCGTTGTCAGAAGAGCCGTGGTAGAAACTACTTTGAAAGCCGTGGTAAAAAGGAACGTTGACTAATGATCGGCCTGGATTTGAAATAGTGACTAATATAATATATATGCAGCGTAATTATAATTCTACTGCGCTGCTAGAACGTGCTTGCACAGGTCCTAGCGATTTGTGTAAGCACATTCTACTACGCGAGCACTACATATATAAACGCGGACCCGTAATAGTGTTTTACAAGTCCTCAGTTAAACATGATAATTGTCATCAAATTTCTGTAACTACATCGTGACAATTTTAATCGAATGGATGTACCAAATGCTATCAAATTGATTTTGAAACATTAGAGTTACCATCAAGTACAGTAACGAACAAATAGTTTATTACGAATGCTGATCACTATGCAATGAATTTATTACGTGAATTTACAAAACTTTTTTGCTCCTTTCCTTGAAATCTATCCCGTTGTCAAGTAGTTTATCGATTTAATGGCATTAAAATTGTTATGATTTTTTAATTGATATAAAAAGTAAGATATATATATATATATATATATATATATATATATATATATATATATA